CGATAGCTATGGATATAAGGTGATAGTTATGGCTTACGAATTCATTGAAATTCAATAGTTTTGGCTTAGAATCTCGGACTATGTATATGTGTTAAAAAAATTATTTTCTCTGTCTCAATTTATATGACAGAGTTTGATATTTGACACAAAGTTTAAGAAAAAAAAAGATTTTTGAAATTTGTGGCTAAAACAAAGCTTACACATTTATTTGTGTAGTTATAAATTATTTATTTGAGGATAAAAAGAGAATTATAAAGTTAAATTATTTCTAGTTATGAGAAATGATTCTTTTTTAGTTGAATTAAAAAAAGAAAGTGTGTCATATAAATTAGGACAAATGAAATATAAATATGTACAAATAATTATTCACATATAATGAATGATAAATTGTGATATAATTTTGAACTAATACCATAACACTCGACTATGGACTACCTTATAACTTTCTACCTTAATTTTCGACATTTCCCAACCCTCCTAATTATAATACTATAGGTTGATACGTATCCTCCGTGAGTTACGTTTAGTTAAAGCAAGTCTTTATGATCCATAAAATTAACTAATATAATATTTTATATTTCAATTTTTTTACCCCGAAAGAAAAAGGTCTTTATGAAATTTTTGTTTTTTTTCTTGAAGAATTCAAAGCAAGTCCTCTATTTTTCTGATCGTTGCATGTAAGTACTATTGAGTTCTATAAATAGGGACGAAATGCATGTCTTTTCTCATCAGCAAGAAAAATTTTTATAAAAAAAATCAAATTCCAAATAGTTTAATTTGTTAATCAAAATGGTTTCTAAAAATAATATTTTTGTTTACCTTTCTTTGGTTATTCTACTAATAATATCCTCACAAATTGTTGCAAGGGAGATGAATTCTGAGGCCCCTGCTCCACTTACCCAAGGTTAATTTACTGTCTCCATCTATTTATTAGTATAAAAAAATGTTTTTATTTGTTCTTTTTGTTATATATAAACGGTTGAGTTCACTTGACAACATGGAGACATCATAGTAAAGGACGTTCAAAAATTGTTATGTTACATGTATAAATACTATATAGGGTGCATGTGACACTATTTTATTGTATTTTTGAATCCCCTTATATATGAATTTCTGATTCTATTACTGACTAATATGAAGTTCTACATACACTTTTTGATGCAGCAATGATTGGAAACACCACTAGTGAAGCCAAGGGAGTGTTTCTTCGTGGGCACCATTTAAAGAGGAATCTTGGTAGAATTTTCAGAATTGGCAAAGTTATATATTGTAACAGTTGCTCAACTTGCAATGGCCTTTGTGGCTATTGTTGTGTCTAAAGCTAAGATGAGAAATCCGCAATCTCCTCTTTAACCACACGCTTTCTGAAAATACATCTTTAAGTTTATATGAAAGCCTATATATAATTAAGACTTATATACTTGTATTGGTGTGAAAAATAAAGGGAAGTTATGAATAGAGTCCCTGTTCACTTTCCTCTAGTAAAACAACTTGTGTGTTGTTTTGTTTTGTCATGTTTTTATAATTGTTGCAACTTGCAATAAGTCATGTGTATGTACTTTTAATTGGTTTAATGATCAAATAGCGTTTATGTACCAAGTTGGCTATTCATGTTGGGCTTGGTTCAAAATTTGAATCATCTTAATTACCTTTACTACAAAAAAGGTAATATTCGACCTATATATACAGTATAATTTTCAAGCAAAAGGCGTTTAACTGACCTGTCTTGAGCCTATGGGTGAAAAGAATAACCAATTTACAAGGTTTACAAATGACTCAACAAAATTTTCAAACCAGAAAATTGTGTGTATCATTGAGGAATAGCACACCCAATTTTATGCAAGTTTAATTTTCTTAGTTTTAAAAAAGGGAATATCAATATCCACAACAGAAATTCTGATCATAATAGAATCCTTTGGAAGAGTCACAATTCTTCGAAAAAGTCACAAATCATTGGGAAAGTCACAACCTTTTGAAAAAATCACAGCCTTCTAATATGAAAAGAAGTTTGCTTTTAATATAACATAAATAAATAAAATTATAAAATGTAGAAGATATACTAAATTGAGTATTTTTAGTTGAGGGTATTATAGTAATTTAACATTTAAGTTAGAGAGTTCAAATTTTTAAGGTAGTACTTCATTTGTCCCAATTTATGTGGCACTTTTCATTTTTTTAGAGTCAAACAGTTTAAGTTTGATCAGGAATTTGCGCATAGAATCTTCATTTTTTTTTGAAATGATATTTATATATTGTAAACTGCGTAAAAAGTATTGTACATCACAGTAATTGATAATTCAAAATTTTTAAAAGATATATGAAAAACTTACGGTCAAAGATAGACTTGTTTGAATCACAAAATCTACAAAGTGTCACATAAATGGGACGGAGGGAGTACTAGTTTTGATGCACGTGCGTTGCACGTGAATGCCAATTATGTAATACACTATATTTTAAAATAAATAAATAAATATAAATATAAAATATAGAAAATATACTAAATTGAGTGTTTTAAGTTGAAAATATTATAGCAATTTAACATACATTCTTTTAAGAGATGGTATAGATGGATAAGTAGAAATTTGAACTCCTATTTTAAGTCATCCTTGTCCAACTTTCCATCAACTTTTCTTCTTCTTTCTGTTTTCCACAATACTTTTCAAAGGGAACTATTGTATGACTAAGTCAATTGAGGATAAAATAATAAATGAGCATTAAAGACATGATGTTACTCTATTTCATCTTCCCTATGACAAGAAGGGACACTTTAATCAAGCAAAACCAAGTTGTATGAATGCAATAAATTTTAGTGTAATTTTTTCACGAAATCTATATAATCATAAAAGGTCAAGACACGTCATTGAACCAATTATGAGAACAGTTAGGGTACGTTTGGGATAGAGAAACCAATTATAAGAATGCGATAATTTTTTATGCAAATTTTCCATGGAATTTATACAGTCATAAAAGGTCAATATTCCGAGTTAGTAATTAGTTGTCTCTTCTGCTATTTTCAAACTTGTTAGGTACACAATAGTTTTCACATTTTTCAAGTTAAAGAGGGAAAATCCATCAATATTCCATTCCACCTAAGGAAAAAAGTGATACAGTATTGTAAGTAGCGGACGATGACTTGTATGCCTTTGAGCCAATTTCCACAAAGACTAGAGAAAAAATAGATTGAATAACAAGATGAGTATTACTCACTTCTAACAACTTGTTACTCATATTTTGTAGTGTTCCACAAGACTTGTTAGAGGACCGAGAAGACTTAACAAAATAATTCTCTCTATGTCCTCTAATTTTCTCTAGATGTTGTGTTCATTTCGAAGTCATTAACTATCTCTGCAGTGTGTGTTACATCAAGATGATGTGAAATTGGTCCGATTATGTAGAAAAAATTTCTGCAGAACTTCTTAGAAATTTCCAATGGTAGAAACTATTGTTTGACCAAGTCAAGTGAGGAAAAAAATGAACAATAATTAAAGACATGATTTAAGTCCTTCATTTCCTCCTTGTGGAATTTTATACAAAATTTTGTTTGATATGTGTTTTCCTGCTTAATTAGTATGTTTTGAATAACTTGGTGAAGATCCTTCCACCTGCAGAGAAATTTCCGATTAGTTGTCTCTTGTGCTGTTTTCCAAAAGATTTTTCACATTAAGTTAATGAGGGAAATTCCATCTATATGATACAGTTCAAATATGAAGAGATGGAAAATAACCAAAGTAGTGGAGATGTTGTTTCTGTAGACCCTCGACTCAAGATAAAGGTATAGTGATCAAATTAAGAAGATAAAAAAAGTGATACACAAGCAAAGAAAACTGAGAGACCAATTGTATTGAAGGATCACATGTTTAGCTTACCATCTTTAAACATGAGGTGCCACATGACAGTTACAACAATTAATCCACAACTAGCAAAATACGACTCTCTTCTTCTTCTTCTTCGGACTCCAATGGACGAGGAGCATGCAATCAGTCTGATAAGAACATTCAGACAGAGTTTTTAGACTGCCAGGAATTTTAGTCTTCTCAGTTCCCTTGGAATCTTTCCAGTGAGCCGATTCCAGAGAGCATTTTTCCCAAAAACAAAAAAATTTCCTCATTCATAATCAAGCAGTATGAATTAGTTGTTGGATCACGTGAGACATAACACTCGTCATGAAGTATAAATATATGTAAAAATCTACCAAAATCAAAATCGCAGAAGTTGAAACTGAGTTAGAGAACATTTTAAGGATGTTTTATGACTAGAAAGATGAAGTACCACAAAATTATTAGCCACTTCTGTAGTTTTGAGCATTCTTCTACATCAATTTTCACAAATATAAACTTTCTAATATCAACTAATTTCAATCATGAACCAAACTCTATATGCTTACTGCACTGCTTTATCCAATTTTGTTGTATTAATGAACTATGTTGCTCGGACTCTCCTAAAATGTGATGATGTCGCACCCATGCTCAGGGGTGGACCTAGAGTCTGCTGAGGGGGTTCACCCAAACCCCCTCGGCAAAAAATTACGTTGTATATTTAAGGTATTTTTAAGAATTTTTATGTTTATATATTGATTTTGAACCTCCTGAATATAAGATTAGAGGTTGGTTTAGTGGTTGAGGGGTTCAAACCTCAAATCTTAAGCACTACTCTTTTTTTTTCGAACCCCCTTAATGAAAATCCTGGATCCGCCACTGCCCATGTTGGTTCCTTAATAAATACACAACTTTTGAAGAATCCAACACATACCCGTTGACATTTTTGAAAAATCTAAGTAACATAGCTAATGAGTTGCTGTGTAGATCACTTCTGTCAATTTGAAACAGAAACAAACTAACATAAATTGAATACTAAAATAACACACATATAATTATGTTTCTAACATATACAAACAACAAATAGAAAACTAAAAAAAAAAAGACAAAAACAGAACAGTTCACTTATTAGTCCACAAAATCAAACAAAGACAATTTAGCCCTCTCAATCTTCCATTAAGTCCTTCATCTCTGAGCTCTCTTCTTTGGCCTTCTTCTTTTGTGAGGCATGAGTCCATCAAAAAATTCCACAAACCACTTTGACTTACGATATTTAAACATGAGGCTCCACATGACAGTTCCAACGACAAGTCCAAAACTGTAGCCTATTACTACTGATTCCCAGGAAAATCCACTAAAAAAATATGACTCGCCTTCTTCTGCGGACTCCAATGGTTGAGGAACATGTGATGAATCACTCGTTCCACATGGCTTTGATAAAGGAAGACCACATAAATCAAGGTTTCTGCCATACGAATCATTTTCGAATGTGTTGAACTGTAGACCGTGAGGAATTGGTCCGACGAGATGATTTGTAGAGACGTTTAAGAAGGACAGAAAGTTCATTCTTGTCAGTTCCTGCAGAATCTTTCCAGTGAGCCAATTCCAGGAGAGATCTAAAGCTTCAAGCGTATTCAATTGCCCCAGTTCCATTGGAATATGACCTATGAGATTGTTATGGGATAAATTGAGTAGCCAAAGTGAGCTAAGATCCTTTAGTGTTTTCGGAATGACACCTTCAAAATGGTTGCTTGAGAGATCTATGGTTGTCATAATTGTGTTGATTCTTTGTAGCTCAATATCCTGCCCTTTGATTACCAAACTCAATGAATCCTCATACGAAACTGTAGTTACTGAAGTTGTTGCATGATAAATCTAATAAGATAAGCGAGCTCATGTTACAAATGGATAAAGGTAGTCGACCCAGAAGGGAGTTAAATTTCAGATCAAGATACCCTAGATTATGGAAATGCAGTTGTGGTAGGTAACCTGTCAAAAGATTATGTGAAATATTTAGGTACCACAAGTTGTCCCACCTCATGCCGCTAAACCAGTCAGGAATTTGACCACGAATCATATTGTTAGAAATATCCAAGTACACAAGTGTCTTTACATTTCTCAAGAAGTGTGGAAAATCCTTCAGTTGACAAGATGATAAGAATAAAGATGATAGGCTAAGAAAGGTGATATTCACTCCCTCATCAATGGTGATGTTATTTGATGAAAGTCCAAGGGTTTTAAGGTTTGTGAGATTCACAAGTGATTGAGGAAAAGAACCACTGAGTTGATTATTGCTTAAATGCAGTTCTTTTAATGTTGGGTTTGTTTTGATCACTTCATCGGCTAGTCCTCTGAATCGGTTATGTTGGAGCGACACTGAAGATAGCAAAGGTAGGCTAAACACCCAAGATGGTATGGTACCATCCCATTGCATCTCTAATTCCATAGTAATACCCTCACTTCCATCTTCAATAATAGAAATCCCTGCAGTGGCATATACATGAGATCAAGCATTTGTTAAATGTAGTGAGATTCATCCTCACAAGCAGTTTCTTTTATTAAGGATTAACTGGCACGAGATGATTGGAATGCTCTTTGAGGTTTGAATATCGTTTATACCCTTGCCTGTCTCAAATTATTTGTCACATTTTGACATCTCAAGAGGCTATAAATGGCAGGAAAATGTTATGCCGTTTTTTTTTTTATGGTGGTGGTGTCCGTGCAGGGAAATGTTACGCTACTCCAGACATAAGCATGCCATAAAGACCTAGAGGACTGATAAGTTTGTTCATATGTATAAGTGAATCCTAAAACTTTTAGGTAGTACAATATACAAGAGCTTTGAGGCAGGTTACACAAGCCATAATCTACTAACCTGTGAATTGTGGAGCAACTGTATCAAGAGTGAACTTTGAAAATTTTAACGACGCCAAAATCACAGGCCTATATTGTTCCAAAACTGGCTCCACACTTGACTTTACTAGTTCTGATGCTGCCTGAATGACCCCATATACCCATACCGACTCAATTAGCAACAAAGAAGTTCCAACAATCATAAATTAGAACCAAAAAAAGGGGGAAATGAAAAATTGCAGAATCGCAATAGAGTGGAAAACTAAACTATGTATAGACATTGAACCCCTAACCTCATCCACATATGGCCAGATCTTTTCAAGATGAGAATTAAGCCATGCCAACTGTAAGAACAAAATTGAAAAATTCAAAAGGTCATTTTTTGCCCTCAACAAACTAAATCACAAGATGTATTCTAGATAGAAATTAAACAAAGTCCATAAAGGGACAGTCTTGCAACCAAAGACCATAATTTGAACCATAATGCACTAATTTAATCTCAATGATCTTATATGGTCACTATGTGCTCAAAAACAGAAAAGGACATCAACAGTGTGTTTGGTAAAATCTTATTTTCCATCAAAAAGGAACAAACAATTATCTCAACATATAGACATTATTATCAATCTTTACTACTCACATATTTTTCACCAAAACACTATCCAATTTGCTGATTCAATCTACAATAAATGTCTTTTCCCAGAAAAAAATCCATCACGAAAAACATTTTCCAGAAAATAAGTCATTTTACAGATTTATGATAAATGACATTGCTTTAGCTACAAGTACGGCAAAATCCAGTAGCTTTGGTTTAACCCTATATTAATGTTAAGATGTATAAATAGTCTTTTCAGTCAATGTTGCTCGGACTCTTCAAAAATGGTGATGGGTGATGGGTGATGGGTTACTGTCGTATACTCCAAACTAGTGCAACTTTAGAGAATCCGACACGGGTACAAACAACATTTTTTGAGAGTCCGAACAACATAATTTTCAGAAACCCAACAAAGCAAAAAAGAACCAATGGTCTAGAACCCATATAAACTAAAAATTCTGACTCCGCCACTACGTCCTACCAAATACATCCTAAAGAAAAGTTAAAGACTTCATCTTTTGCTGATTTGAGAAAACAACCCAAGAAGGGTATTGTTCTGGTGTGAAGATTTTTCTTGAATCTTCCACTGTCCTTCTAGCAAATGCAGCAATTCCACTAGCCTTAACAATTCAACCAAAAAAACAACATAAATACAAAAAACCCCAAAAATGGAAAAAACTAAAAATCCAAAAAAATTGAAGTAAGAAAAAACAAAAACTTTAGTTGACTAAATCACAACATCTATTCTAGATAGAAAATAAACAAAGTCCATAAAGGGACAGTCTTGCAACCAAAGACCACAATTTGAACCATACTGCATGAATTTAATCTCAATGATCTTATATGGTCACTATGTGCTCCAAAAACAGATAAGGACATCAACGGTGTGCTTGTAATCTCTTTTTTCTGATTTTGGCTGCTAGAACATATGTTTTGCGAAAACATTTTCCACCAAAAAGGAGCAAACAATTATCTCAACATATAAACATTATTATCAATCTTTACTACTCAAATATTTTTCACCAAAACACTATCCGATTTTCTTATTCAATCTTCAATAAATGTCTTCTCCCAGAAAAGCTTTCCATTCTCCAACCAAACACAAAAAACATTTTCCAGAAAATAAGTCATTTTTCAGATTTATGATAACTGACATTGCTTTAGCTACAAGTACATCAAAATCCAGTAGCTTTGGTTTAACCCTATATTAATGTTATAAGATGTAAAAATAGTCTTTTCAGTCAATGTTGCTCGGACTCTTCAAAAATGGTTACGGTTGATGGTTAGTGTCGTATAATCCAAACTAGTGCAACTTTAGAGAATCCAAAATGGGTACAAACAACATTTTCTGAGAGTCCGAGCAACATAGCTTTCAGAAACCCAACAAAACAAAAAGAACAGTGGTCTAGAACACATAAACTAAAAATTCTGACTCCGCCACTACGTCCTACCAAATACATCCTAAAAAAGGTGAGATTTTGAATCTGTTTTTGGAGTTTTCTTTTTATGGGGTTTTCCTAAAAGATGAATTCTTGAAAAAAAATTACATCTTGAGATTCACTGAAACTTAAAATTGTTGAAAGAAGAACTCAAAGTTGGGATTTTTAATCTGTTTTTTGGAGTTTTCTTCTGGTGGGGTTCTTCCAACAGGTAAATTCTTGAAAAAATAATAATTAAAAAGTATATCTTGAGACTCAATGAAAGTTGTAATATGTATTGAAAAGTGAAACTTAGTTTTAATTTGTTTGTCTAGTTTTTACCTATTTGATATAAGTCTAAGAAAGTTAAAAAAAATCTTTGAATCGTATGCTTTTAAAATGATTTTTAAACATGTCACGTGGAATATTGAAATTTAAAATTCAAAATAAAAAAAGTACATATAAGTAAAGAAGAATTTTAATGATATAATATTAAATTAAAGTTATATAAAAAGACATATCAAAATATCTTTTACTGTTATAGTCTTAAACATATATTATGTGAAACGTTGAAATAAAAAGATGTTCAAAATGAAAAAAATTATTCTTTTTGAGACAAATTAAAGTACGATAAATAAATTAAAATTATAAAAATATTTCAAAAAATAATAAAACAAACAAATTAAAACGAAGAAAACTGATGTTTTCAATCATCTTTCTTGTTATAATCAAAGCTTTGAACGGCCATTACCAGACAAAGATACTTTAATTGTTTTCAAAGTGTCCAAACTAAAATTAGGAATGTCATTTTTCTGACAGGTGAGTTGACTATTTGTGGGGCAATATTTTTAACCAATTATATTTTGCCATGTGGTCAAATTATGTAAAGTTTTAATTTATCTTTCTTAAGTTTTAAATAATTTGATTATATTTTTCTCTTTGTTAAATTAAATTTTGGGAATAAGTCTATTTTAGTCCATCAAAAATAACTTTGACATGTAGTTTTGCAGATAGTAAAGATCCAGATGAAACTGAATCACAGGTCTTGAATTTGAACCTGAAAAATAAAAAGAAATCCTTATATAGAGCGTTTTGCCCTTTTAAAAAAAACCTTTCCCTCATTGATAATCAAACACTATGAATTAGTTGTTAAACAACCAGAGACGTAACTTTCGTTCACGAAGTATAAATATATGTAAAAAAAATTACCAAAATCAAAATCACGGAAGTTGATACTGAGTTAGAGAACATTTTAAGGCTGATTTATGTTTAGAAAGATGCAGAACCACAAAATTATTAACCAATTCTGTAGTTTTGAGTACTCTTCTGCATCAATTTTTTTAAAAATTAACTTTCTAATATTAAGTGATTTCAATCACAAACCAAACTGATATATTTGATTACTGCTTTGCTTTTTCCTGTTTTGTTATGCTGATGAGTTATGTTGCTCCGAATCTCCTAAAATATAATGACACCAGCGTTGGTTACTTAAAATTGCACTACTTTTGAAGAATCCAACACGTCCCGTTGACATTTTTGAAGAGTTTGAGTAACATAGCTAATGAGCAGCCGTGTAGATCACTTCTATCAACTTGAAACAAAAACAAACTAACATAACTTGAATAACTATTGATATTAAAATAACACACATATAATTATGTTTCTATCAAACATAGATAAACAACAAACAGAAAATGAAAAATACAAAAACAGAACCAGAAAAGTTCACTAATTATTCCACAAAATCAAACAAAGACAAGTTGGCCCTCTCAATCTTCCATTAAGTCCGTCGTCTCTGAGCTCTCTTCTTTGGCCTTCTTCTTTTGTGAGGCATGAGTCCATCGAAAAATTCCACAAACCATTTTGGCTTACGATATTTAAACATGAGACTCCACATGACAGTTCCAACAACTAGTCCAAAACTGTAGCCTATGACTACTGATTCCCACGTAAATCCACTAAAAAAATATGACTCGCCTTCTTCTTCGGACTCCAATTGTTGAGGAACATGCGATGAATCACCCGTTCCACATTTCTTTGTTAAAGGAACACCACATAAATCAAGGTTGCCACCATATGAGTCATTTTCAAATGTGTTGAATTGCCGACCTTGAGGAATTGGTCCGACGAGATGATTTTGAGAGAGGTTTAAGAAGGCGAGAAAGTTTATTCTTGTCAATTCCTGTGGAATCTTTCCAGTGAGCCGATTCCAAGAGAGATCTAAAGCTTCAAGCATACTCAATTGTCCTAATTTCATTGGAATATCTCCTCTGAGATTGTTATGAGATAAATTGAGTAGCCAAAGTGATCTGAGATCCTTTAGTGTTTTCGGAATGACACCTTCAAAATGGTTGCGTGAGAGATCTATGGTTGTCATAATTGTGCTGATTCTTTCTAGCTCAATATCCTGCCCTTTGATTACCAAACTCACTGAATCCTCATACGATGTGACAAATGGCGAATACAACGCAGATTCCATGTACTTGATATTTCCTGTGTCTTCACCATCTAATTTGATCATTGCCTTGAAGTTTCCAAAAACTTTTGCAGGAAGTGAGCCACTGAAATCATTACGAGAAAGATCAAAAATTCGCAACTTGGGAAAGCAAAACTTAGTCTGACACATACTTATAGGTCCATGGAACTTGTTCGACTTTAATATAAGGACCTGCAGCTCTTGAAGAATTCCGAGCCAAGCTGGAAACGTGTCATTTATAGCATTGTTCCCCATATCAAGGACTAGTAGACCATTACACTTGAGCAACGACACAGGAACAGGTCCTTCAAATCGATTACCATTTATGACAATGGTACTCAACGAAGTGCTGTGTACACATAATGGGGGAAGACTCCCTGTGAAATCGTTCCTTCTTAAGTCTAGCACCATTAGACTAGCCACGCTTCCCAAGCAATGTGGAACTGAGTCACTGAAGTAGTTGTGTGATAAATCTAATAAGATAAGCGAACTCATGTTACAAATGGATAAAGGTAGTGGACCCTGAAGGGAGTTAAATTTCAGATCAAGATACTGTAGGTTATGGTAACGAAATTGTGGTAGGTGGCCTGTTAATGAATTATGAGAAAGGTTTAGGAACTGCAACGAGTCCCACCTCATGCCGCTAAACCAGTCAGGAATTTGACCACGAATCTTATTGTTAGAAATATCCAAGTACACAAGTGTCTTTACATTTCTCAAGAAGTGTGGAAAATCCTTCAGTTGACAAGATGATAAGAATAAAGATGATAGGCTAAGAAAGGTGATATTCATACCCTCATCAACGGTGATGTTATTTGATGAAATTCCAAGGGTTTCAAGGTTTGTGAGATTCACAAGTGATTGAGGAAAAGAACCACTGAGTTGATTATTGCTTAAATGCAGTTCTTTTAATGTTGGGTTTGTTTTGATCACTTCATCGGCTAGTCCTCTGAATCGGTTATGTTGGAGCGACAGTGAAGGTAGCAAAGGTAGGCTAAACACCCAAGATGGTATGGTACCATTCAGTGAGTTGTAAGACAAATCCAGTGAGAGAACATTTTGGAGCATGCTTGGGTTGCTAGGCAGTGGGCCAGATAGGGAATTACTCGACATGTCTAAGTATTCAAGATGTGTCAAGTTTAAAATTGAAGCGGGAAATGGACCGATGAAGCTGTTTTCAGAAAGACGTAAATAACGTAGCTCTTGGAGGTTAGAGAAAACATCAGGAATTTCACCTGAATAGGAGTTGGAAGAAAGATCTAGCTCTTGGAGGTTAGAGAAAACATCAGGAATTTCACCTGAAAAGGAGTTGTCAGAAAGACGTAAATAACGTAGCTCTTGGAGGTTAGAGAAAACATCAGGAATTTCACCTGAAAAGGAGTTGGAAGAAAGATCTAAATAATATAGCTCTTGGAGGTTAGAGAAAACATCAGGAATTTCACCTGAAAAGGAGTTGGAGGAAAGATCTAAATAACTTAGCTTTTGGAGGTTAGAGAAAACATCAAGAATTTCACCTGAAAAGGAGTTGGAGGAAAGATCTAAACATGTGAGGTGCTTCAATTTAGATATTGTGGAAGGAATATGGCCAGTGAAATGATTAAAAGATAAAATCAACTCCGTAATTTGTGTTAGGTTGCCTATGGAATCAGGAATGGAACCAGAGAATTGACATCTATGGAGGCTCAAGATATTCAAGGATTTCAAGGTGCCAATTGAATCAGGAATGGAACCAGAGATGCCTGTGTATGATATATCCAACTCCGTTAAGGAAGAAGAAATATTCGGAGATGAGATGTTGACTTCAGAGAGAGAAAGTATCTCCAGATTTGTGAAGTTCTGAAGCATTGCTTCAAATGTTCTCTCATCAAGTTGTAATTCATACTCATAAGGAGGAGAAAGATCAAGTGAAACCAAATTGTTAAGGTATGAGATTTCTGTTGGGATTTTCCCATCAAAGCCAGAGAGTTTTAGATGCCTCAAATTCCTCAATCGGCCAATGTTATGTGGGATCGAAGAAGAAGGATTAAAGTAACTGTTATGAAGGTTTAGTGTGTGGAGATGATGAAGCTTGAAGAGGCTGCTATTGGGATGAATACTTACAGGTATCAGTGATGAGATGTCTCCAAGAGGGAGAGCTAGTAACTCCAGATTTGTAAAGTTGTGAAGCATTGCTTCAAATGTTCTCTCATCAAGTTGTAATTCATACTCATAAGGAGGAGAAAGATCAAGTGAAACCAAATTGGAAAGGTATGAGATTTCTGTTGGGATTTTTCCACTAAAGTGAGACCATGAAAGGTTCAGATGTCTCAAATTCGTCAACCGGCCAATGTTATGTGGGATTGAAGACCAATTGAAGTCATTATTAGCAAGGTTTAGTGTGTGGAGATGATGAAGTTGGAAGAGGCTACTATTGGGATGAAAAGTGCCAAAAAGCTGACTACAACTAAGGTCTAACCCGATAACATGACCGTTTAATAAGTCACAAGTGACTCCATCCCAACTGCAGCAATCCCTACTCTCATTCCAAGACTCTGTTTTTGGGAAAGAAGCTCCATCACACAGAAAACTAAAGTACTCTTCGGACATATTTTGAAAGGATTGCTTAAACTGAAGCAAAGCAGAAGCTTCAGTGGGAGAGCAAAGATGATGATCAAAGGAAGAAGAAAAGCATTCACTTATTAGCAACACAAAACACAGAAATGAATAAAAGAAAAAGAAACGTCCCATTTTTTGTTTGTTTGTTTTCAGCAAATAACAGGATGTTTGTTCTCTTTTTACAAATCAATCAGCATTATCCACATATATATATACTAGTTTCAGTTTTCATACATAAATTGTATACCTATAACATACTGATTAATGTAATCCTACAAGTAAAGTTTCAAGAAGGTAGGATATACACAGACCTTAATGAAGTAAGAATACAAACAACAAAAAATATCAATGAAAAAATATGATATAAAGTTAGAATAATCAAATCTTACTCAAAACATTAAGAAGTTTATACAATGATATTGAAATAATTGCGCTGAATTTCATAAGTTGATATAATAATATTAAAATAGTATTGATTTCACTACATCAAAAATGATCTATAACGGCAATTAATTAAGTTTAATTGCCGCTAAATAAATATGTATTTTTAACGGCAATTAACACTCTTTGCATATGTCCCTAAACCCTTTAGCGACATTGGATCTAATGACAGTTAACTAAAACCGGTAAAATCTTTAACACTTTTATTAATGTGTATATTTATTGCCGCTAAGAGTTGTTTTTATTATAGTGTTTGTTGCAGTGATTGTAATTCAAAGAATACACCAAAAAACAAATTTGATCTTTTTTAACACCCAACAATTTATTTTGCATGATGCAAAAGGTTTTACCGTTTGGTAGACTTTAGAATATTTAATAATGAGAAAATAAAAATAGAAAGAGGAATAAAAAAGATAGAAATAATAATATGGGTTCATGCTGATCGTCAATATATAAATAAGTCATTAAAATAAGTAGCCAGATAAGAAAGGATGCTATAATTAACTAAGTAAGTACTATTTAATTTCTTAATTATTACAATGACCTCTACATTAAATAAAGTAAACAGTTAACTAAACACTATTTCATAAAGTAGTGTTGTTGACTTGTCTATAAATGCATGGGACTGTAAGGTAGAAAAAGGGCGACTAATTTATTTGTGGCCTGCAAAAAGAAAAGTTGTCCCAAGTGTTAACTCAATTTCCAGGAAGACTCAAAGTCTTTAAGTCAGTCTTGTTTGATAGTGCCAGTTATATTATATTTGTTTTGTTCAACTTTGGGATAAATGGTGAGAAAATAATACAACTTTTACATCACCAACTACGTAACTTGTGGTCCATGGATGAGTACTAGTCACTTCTAACAACTTGTTACTCCCTATGTCCTCATTTTCTGTTGTTCATTTCGATGTCATTAACTATCTCTGCAGTGTGTGTTACGCAAGATGATGTGAAATTTGTCCCGTTACGTAACACACACTATAGAAAAAAGTTATGCTTGACTAAGTCAAGTAAGAAAAAAAAAAAACAACAATTAAAGATGATGTGAAGTTGGTCCCATTATGTGGAAAAAAATTCTGCAGAACTTCTAAGAAATTTCCAATGAGAGAAACTATTTCTTGACGAAGTCAAGTGAGGAAAAAATTGAACAATAATACCGTGTGGAATTTTTATTTTTTCTTTTATTTGCTTTTTATTCAAAATTTTGTTTGATATGTGTCTTAATTTTCTGCATAATTAGCATGTTTTGAATAACTTGGTGAAGATCATTTTATGAGAAATTTCCAAGACTTTTCATATTTAGTTAATGAGGGAAACTCCATCTATATGATACAGTTCAAACACGAAGAGATGGAGAATAACCAAAGTAGTAGAGAGGGTGTTTTCGTTGACCACTGCAAAAAAAATGTGAATTATACATTGGGATTTTTCTGGGGATTATTAATGAAAATTCGTAGAAAAATATGTTTCCTACGGATTTTCCTATCAAAAAGAATCCGAAGGTAAAACCTTCGTAGGTAATTATTTCCTGTGAATTTCAAAATCCCCAAGTAATTTACCTAGGGATTTAAATTTTGCAGGTAAATAACGTGCGAATTTTCTTGCAAAAAACACCAAAAATATCCCAAATTTTTTCCAATTTATTCACAAGTAAATCCACGTAAAGATATTCTAATAAATCTTTAAAAATTTCTTGTAAATATTATTAATTATTATTTCCCAGTTACATCTAACACCACTCACCCCACTGCCCACCCATTTATCTTGCATACCATTCATCACATACCACTTGAACACAATTTTAATTCCCCCACCCAGAGTGCCCAGTTGAATTTGTTGGTGCCCACCCATTTATTGTTGCTCTTTGAAATTTTATTCTACTTGTGTTTAGTCGTAGCATTATAAATGCTAATCTTTTCATGTCATATCAATAAAGTAAAAAAATATATTTTAAATGTTGGCTAAAGTTCATTTGATTTAACTCTTAAAAAGTGAAATTATATATTTAAAATAAATCACCACCACCCAACATATCATGAAAATTTTATGCTTACACTTTCTATGAGATAATATCCATAGCTAAGCATATTAAACGTAGACAAAATTTATATTATACATACAAAGTTCTTATAAATAAATAATTGAAAATATAAATAAATCTATATGTTTAAATTAAAGTGCAAGAAAGTTATAACCAATAATTGATAGTACATCTTATTAGGTATTTGTGGTTTTATAATTTTAATTTATGTTTTAATAATTATATTTTAATATACTTAATAATAAATATTTGCAAATAAATAACATTTAATAACTTACCATAGAGAAATTATATCATATTTAATGCTTGTAAGAAAAAATTATATATAAATTTGCTATATAGTTAAAATTTATTTATTTTTCATTTAATATAATTCTATCAACTAGGGGTTGATTAAAATTCACATTAATAATGTATATACTTTAATTTTACTCTACTTAAACAGTGATTGACTTATTCAATAATTCGAAATTTAATATAAAGTAATATCTAATAAAAAATAAATATATTTATGATAGTTATTTTTCTAAGGATAAATAACTAGCCATATAATTTTAATGCTTTGTATCTTTAAAAAAAAAAAAAAACGGCATCATTGGTTTTTAGGACTAAATATTGTAACTATATATAAGTTAAAAATATTGTTCATGACATTTGTGGTAATGTTCTAATATAGTGTTAGATTAATATTATTGTATAATAATTTATTTAATCTAAAAGTAGAGTATATATTGAACAATAAAATTCTTTCTAATGTCATTGCTATTTTTTATATTATTATAGTTTTAGATTTTGTTAAATATATTTTAAAGAAAATATTTCTTGAAGACTCCAAATAAAAAAATCCTTAGATTCCAAGAAAATACTTCCAATTAAATTGTATTTAAAAAATTCAAGTATGCATTCCTCTAAAAATCTTCAACCAAATTCACAACAATAAAATCCCCAAGTAATTCTCCAGGTAAATCCTCAAGAAATAAATTCCCAACAAAATTCGTAGAACATGAATCCTCAGGTAATAACACGTATAAAGTTATTTGCAAATAAATTTTCAAGTAATTATTTCTAGCTAAATCTGCAAATAGGTTTTTCTAGGAATTTTCTTGCAAACATACTAAAAAAATAATTTTTATATTACTTGCGAATTTACCTATGAAAATGCTACTTGCAAATTATTTTTCCCAAATAATTCCCCAGGTAATAATTTTGTAAAAATGGCGCTAAAGTTATCTTCCAATTTTTCTGGGAAATTATTTTTCGCATGTAGAGAAGTCTAGAATTTAGGAATTTCATATTTCTGCAGGAAATATCTGCGAAAATAATCCCCAAATGAAATTCCTAGGTAATTTACAGTTTCTAGTAGTGGACCCTCGACTCAAGATAAATGTGTAGTGATCTACACTACTTTAGGGGTAATTAATTAATGGCTATAGCTTAATTGCTACTAAACATGTATTTTTAGTGGCAATTAGCACTTTTTGTAAGTGTCTCTAAAGCCTATAGAGACATTGAATCCAATGACAATTAATTAATACCAGTAAAGATTTTAGCACTCTTTGTTAATGTGTATATTTATTGTTGCTAAAACTTGTTTTTGTCGTAGATTTGTAGTGAAATGTAGCCTATGACCACTGATTCCCACGTAAATCCACTGATTAATTTATTCACTTTTGTCATTTTATTTTAAAATGTAATGTTTTATATTTGTTTTAAAGTGCCTACTTGGGAGTGCAAAAATGATGCTCAAAGGAAAGAAGAAAATCATAGACTTATTAGCAACACAAAACAGAGAAATGAATAAAAGAAAAAGAGACTCTTTTTTGTATTCACCAAATAACAGGATGTTCTCAGGGATTAGAGTATGTAAGAGAACTCGATGATCACAAAGCAGAAGAATACAATATAATAATAAAACTATAGATAGATTTTAGTTAAAAGTATTTGAACATTGTAACTTGTTAGGTACACAAGACTTTTCACATTAAGTTAATGAGGGAAAATCCATCAATATTCCATTCCACCTAAGGAAATAAGGGATGCGGTAATGTAAATAGCGGACGATGACTTGTAAGCCTTTATAGATCTAGAGATGA